TTGAGGATTGGGAATATATGTTGGATATAATTATGTCTTTCTCCCCCAAGTTTTAAGAAACCTTTGAGCCAAATATGGGTGATCAGATTGTGGCAATGTACACGGATTGCATGAGTAATAAATCCGACTATCCAACATTAGAAGGAGAGAGTAATAAGCTGGTAAAGTAAAAGAATGATAAAAGAGTAAAGAATAGAATGGTATTAACCATCAGTGTCTTGGCAGGATCCTCGGACTAGAGAATATAATTTAAGACGTCCATATGATATCAAAGAAATGATACAAAGCTAGCAGAACTAGATGCCAAACACATTGGCCCGAAAAGAAAAGAAAAGAATGACTATGTCATACCAGCTTAGCACCACGAAATTAATGTCCTAGAGAGACATAATCAAGTTGCTACATAGTCTATTAAAGATAGACCAATATGTTCCATAAGATAAGGAACCTCGGAAAGAAAAGAAAAAGTGCATAGAATGACAGATCCGTGGTCATAAGGGAAACCAGACCAGACATTGAGAAAGGCTGAGCAGCTAAACATCTAAGGTGCCAAACCATGTAGCTTTAGATGCCAAGTTACAAGGAAATGAAGGTCCTTTGTAAGAATGAAATCTCAAATCGATTAGATCATGTCTGGAATATAATGGAACTATACACAAAAGTGTCGACACATAAATGATATACTTGAATAAAGATGCATAAAGGAAGTAGCACTTGAACTTATGAAAATGAACGAGGATCATGAACCCACATTGATATAAGAGTGTACACTCGTAGGTCAGATTGGATCAATGGAAAATGTGGGGTTCAGAAGTATGTATATAAGAGATGGCCTTATTGGCCATATATATAGAGACGCCATCTAATGATATAAACCAGTGGATAGAGGGAAAAGAAACCGTGAGATGTGGGATATAGTACATGATCACGTGGACTAAGGTTTTCATATTCCTACTGATAGCATTCAAGCATTCCTTGTTACACAAGGATACTCACAGAGATCATGGAACATATTATAAGGAGATAAACTCCTATGTGGTGGATGCTACTACACAAATTCGAAATTGATAAAGGTCTGGTCATAAGTTGACATATAATGATGTAGTAAGTAGCATATGGATCACTGGATAAAGATAATAAAGGTACCAGAAATATCAGAAAGATGAGAAAAGAAGTTCTCAAAGAACATCATTGTTCCTAAGCTGTTTATGGACTGAAACAAAAGCAGCTAAAAGCAGCTACATATAGTATGATAGATACTTAGTAAAAGAGTTCTATAAAAACAATTCATATCAGTCCATGTATCCTTAAAAGAAATTTGGAATTCCTTGTGTTTATTATATTTTAACCAATCCAAAGATGGTTTAGTTTTTTTTGGTGATACATGTTATTTTATATAAGATGGAACTGCAATACCTTGCAGCATTATGCCTGAGCCATATCGTCACAGCAGTATCATGGCTTAACCTAAGCCATAAGAGGATCTGTGAGTGGAGTTTGGCCGCAATTTTGGAGGTCATGGTACATCATAGGTCAATCAAAATGTGTATTGACCGGATGATAAAGGAAGACCAACTGTTATGGACGAAGCTGCAGGCACATGAGGTCAAGGGCCATCCGATCATAGCGTGAGAAGTGTCAATAAGAATGATTTGGTCAAGACTCAAAGTGTCCGACCAAGAATAAGAAGTGGTCGACATGAGTGCATCTTGCTTGAGATCTCTTCATCCACAGATTGGACAGAAAGATCCAAGAACTTCAGGAAGTTCATACATCAGTGATGCATTCATCAAGGGGAGTTCATGCGTATTGACCGAAAGTTCATACTCTTTTGTCATGTCCTTGGTTTTCCTTTTTACTACATTGGTTTTTTGGGTTTTCCAGGAGATGTTTTAATGAGGCATCATTAAGCACGAACAAACCATGACCGGATGTAGCAACCAAGGAGGAGTGTTAAGAATCATTTCTGGTGGTTGGGCCATATCCAGAAATTAACCGGGCCCGTCCATAGATCAGAGGCACATGCACAATTCCTTGTCCTTATCCATCTGTGGCCAAGCAGATCTTATCCATATCCACTCCCTGTGTTTATCTTTATTGTTGTAGTTATCCTAATCCATATGAAATTATGATTATTTCCTTGTTGTAATCCTTATCAATTTAGGATTAGGATTATCTCTAGCTTAGTAACGATCTATGTACCCATATATATAATCGTCGATATCATTAATAAAAGATACAAGTTACAACTTTCGATTCCTAACAATATTTTAATTATGTATGTACAAAGAAATAACTAGATACGCTTAGAGAACCAAGCGATTGTCTTTCTGTTCATCTCTACACGTTAATGGAATCTTTAAGAATTAAAATAACTTATTGCATACAAATTGATGATATTTTAATATTGAAATGATTTCGTATTTATTCTAAACTGGAAACATTTTTTGTATTATTATTTATAAAGTGATTTTTTGTATTTGATCTCTCACGTTAAAAACTAAAGCGATCAATATCAATGATATCTTTAATGAATAAAATATAAATACATAACTTAGACAAAAAATAAAAACGAATTAATTTTTTTTTGATTATATAATTGATTGAAGTTAATAATAAAAAAATATCTAGAACTATATTTGAAAATAAAAGATAAACTTTAAAACAAAAAAAAAAACAGAAAACACATAATCAAATATTAATTAAATAGATTATCTCTAAAAAATATATCTTGAAAAATAGACGATTCATTCTATCTTAGGTGCTATATTTATTGAAAAAGTCGATTTAATATAATATTATTAATGTATATTAGGGAGTGTTATCATAAGCACTATTTTACTTGTTTAATAAACTTTTACACAATGATATAAAAATAAAGCTTCAAATAAATATATAAATCTAAATAGATAGACTCATCTATTTAAATCAATAAAAACATGACAAATGGATAAAATTACTTAAAATTACATAAAATCATGGAGATTATGATAAATCAGCAAATTTACTTCTCAAATAATAGCATAGGTATCAGAATTTATAAAAAAAAACATAATACAAAAAAGTTTTCAAATGAAAACATAAATAATAATTTATCATTATAGTTTTTTTAATTTATAAAAAAATTATTAATAAAGAGTTATAAAATGTGTAGATCAGTATATATGGACAAAACATCTAGTTGAGAATAAAAAAAAGATCAATTTGAATGCTCAGGATAAGTTATTTTATTCTTGTATGACTTTCTAATTAAAAAGTAATAATCTGATGTTAACTTACCCAACCCAAAGTCAGAGGAGGTGGGAAGTCTGCCAAGATTTTTAATTTGATATTACTTGTTTTCATCTGTGTATCATTGCTCTCTAATCTCTCGTGTTTAGTCTAATCAGTAAATTCCTTCTAACGGTTATAACTTTCTCTTCAATATGGGAAGTTGTATCTCTCTGTCGCTATCATGTGATCAGTGTACGAATCAAGTCTTTCAGTGGTTATGCATCAGAGGGGGTTATATTCACAATCTCAAGGAGAATCTCAAGGCTTTGGAGACAACTATGGAGGAGCTTCAGGCAAAGCGGGATGATTTATCAAGAAGGGTGGAGAGAGAAGAGGGTAAAGGACTAAAAAGGCTTTCCCAAATCCAGGTATGGCTTACGAAAGTCGACACAATCAAAACCCAAGTGAATGCTATTTTTAGTGGTATACATGTTGAAAGTCAAAGGTTGTCTCTCTGTGGATTTTGCTCTAAGAATTTAAAATCAAGATATCGTTACGGGAAAAGGGTTGTTCTGATTTTGAAGGAAGTTGAGAATCTAAACTCTAGTGGAAACTTTGATGTCGTTGCGGAGCAAGCTCAAGCATCTGAGGTAGAGGAGCGGCCTATCCAACCAGGGATTGTTGGTAGGCAGACACTGTTCAAAAGGGCATGGGACTGTCTTATTGAAAATGGTGTTGGTATTATGGGTTTGTATGGTATGGGCGGAGTAGGCAAAACTACACTTCTCACGCAAATCAACAACAATTTTCAATATGATGGATATGTCTGTTTTGATATCGTTATTTGGATTGTGGTCTCTAAAAATTCACATACCGAAAAGATTCAGCAAGAGATTGCAAATAAACTAGGCATGGGTGGAGCTGACTGGAACAAAAAATCTAAAAATCAAAAGGCGTGTGAAATACACAATGTCCTTAAGAGGAAAACATTTGTGTTGCTATTGGATGACATATGGGAAAAAGTAAATCTATCTGAGATTGGAATCCCTTTCCCAAAGACAGAAAATGGATGTAAAGTGATTTTCACCACTCGTTCTCAAGAAGTGTGTAGACGCATGGGTGTTGACGTTGAGATGGAAGTCCAATGTCTGACACCAAACGATGCACTGGATTTGTTCCTTAAGAAAGTGGGAGAGGTCACTCTACAAAGTCATCCAAACATACCCGGTCTTGCAAACAAGATTGCTAGAAAGTGTTATGGCCTACCTCTAGCGCTTAATGTCATTGGCGAGACTATGGCGTGCAAAAGAACAATTCAAGAATGGCAGCATGCAGTTAATGTTTTAACATCATACGCTGCTGAGTTTTCTGGCATGGAAGATGAGATTCTTCCGATTTTGAAGTATAGTTACGACAATTTAAAAGACGAGAAGGTCAAGTTGTGTTTACAATATTGCTCTCTCTTTCCGGAAGATGAGAGACTTGATAAAGATGAATTAGTAAACTATTTGATATTTGAAGGAGTGATAGACGGAGATCAAGGTATAGAAAAAGCTGAGAACCAGGGTTATGAGATCATCGGTACACTTATCCGTGCATCTTTATTAATTGAAGATGAAAGGGAAGCGTTATATCAAGTGTATATGCATGATGTTGTACGTGAGATGGCTTTGTGGATAGCTTCTGATTTTGGGAAACAAAAAGACAACTTCATTGTCCGTGCACGTGCAGGGTTATGTGAAACACCCAAGGTTAAAAACTGGAATGTTGTGACAAGAATGTCATTGATGAATAATAAGATTGAAAATCTCTCTGGCATCCCTGAATGCCTTGAGCTTACAACGCTGCTCATGCAGAAAAACGAGGCATTGTCAAATATCTCGAATGGGTTCTTCCGGTTCATGTCAAAGCTAGTTGTTTTGGATCTATCTTATAACAGAAATCTCTCGGAGTTGCCAGAAGGAATTTCAGACTTGGTCTCCTTGCAGTACCTCAACATGTCCAAAACAAATATACAATGTCTGCCTCTAGGCTTACGAGAGTTGAAAAGGTTACTTTACTTGAACTTGGAGTTCACATGGAACCTTTCGAGTATTGTTGGTATATCAAGTCTACGGGATTTGAGAGTATTGAGATTGCGGGGTTCTGGTGTACCACTGGATATCAGCACGGTGGAGGAGTTGCAAGTCTTGGAACAATTAGAAATTTTAACCATAGGTATTGGTTATGATTCAGGTTTTGTTCAGTTTCTAAGCTCTCACAGGCTGATGAGCTGTACACGAGATTTAGAGATCAGCGGTCTTCAACTAGAATCATCTGGAATATCATTTTCAACAACCATGAACAATCTCCAGTATCTAGACTTTCTTGGCTGCACAATCTCCGAGATAAAGATTGATATGACATGTTCTCCTCTCCGGAATCCTATAACTCCATGCTTCTTGAGTCTCTCTGATGTTTATGTACAAGGTTGTAAAAGCCTAAGGGAGTTGACGTGGCTGATGTTTGCTCCAAATCTTACATATATTGATGTTGAGTCTTCAGAACAACTTGAAGATATAATAAGCAAAGAGAAAGCTAGTGTAGGTGAAGCATCAGGTATTGTTCCTTTCCTAAAGCTGAAATTCTTACGCTTGTCTAATGTACCAGAGCTGAAGAACATATATTGGAGTTCTCTACCTTTTCCATGTCTTAAGACAATCACTGCAATCAGATGTCCAAAGCTGAAAAGACTTCCTCTCAATTCCAGAAGTGGATTGGAAGGTGAAAAGGGACGACTTATCATAAGATACAGAGAAAAAGAATGGATTGAAGGTGTGGAATGGAAGGACGAAGCAACCAAAACTCGCTTTTTACCTTTCTGTGTAAAGGTTTAGTTAGCTTATCATATTTCATAATGTGCTAGATTGAGATCTTGCGCGGAATGAAGTTATTATTTTTATTATGTTTTGGAAAATGAAACAAAAGTTCGGTTTCATCTAGATTAAGGATGTTCAATCTGGATATCGGGTTTCGGTATTTTGGTTATGAAAATATAACTACTATTCTAAATCTATATTTACTTCAGTTTGATTTGGTTTATATATTGGTTTTCAGTTTATTCAATTTTATACCAAAATACATCATTATTTAGTTTGAAATCATGTTATATATTATATAAATAAATAATATGATCATATTTAGAGTCATATTGTCGAAAAGTCATTTACTAAAAAAATATTATATATTTAACTAAAAGAATAAAAAAACAAAAAAAGGCTTCTATGATCTAATATTATGATCAAATTTAGAATTAATATCAAATCTCTAAATTTTGAAAATAAAAATAAAAACAAAACAAAAGCATGAAAGAAAAGTTTTTATATTCTTCCATAATTAGTATTCATCAAATTAATATGTCTTCGATTGAACACAACTCTGTTTGTTTAAAGATTAAAAAAATTGTAAAGAATTTCAACTAATTCATGTCCATCAAATTTATAATTTTTACTTCAATTTAGTTTTTATTAAAAAAAGAAAAAAAGATCAAAAAAAAGACGAAGAAAATAAGAAGCCTCAGTTGCATTAAATTGTTAGTTAATTATATTTCAAGTGATTCAAGTGATTTACAAATCATAATTATAGTTCAACTCATGTAACAAATAGATATACATATTTACATGTTTCAGTTTAATCGATTATAAATCAAACCATATCCAAATCTTACGGTTTTTATAAAATCACATA